ACGCACACACACACACACACACACACACATACATATGCACACATAACACATTGACACTAGAGATGGCAAACGAACAATCGATAGTTCGCTCGCATTTTTATTTGGTTGGAAAGATTTTAAAGATCTTGAGTATGTGCGAAACTCGTATATTCTTCTTTTACTTCACGTCAAACTATTTTCCAACACTTTTCCAAACTATTGCCAGTGAGTGCTTGTCGCTTTTACAGCACTGTTCCCTGCAAAGCTGCTTAAAGTAGATTTTGCTGGATTTTCTGCGAGCAGATTTTTAACATATTCTTCTAATTGTATTCGTTTGTTTACTGAGGTATTTCGGATCTTTGGCGACATTTGGAAAATTCAACTTTTTAATTTGGAGTGTACACTATTTATGTTTCAAATAACAAATACTTAGTGTTGGAAATAAACACTAGCACGACGCTTGCAACTCTACAGCTACAACGGATTGTAGAGTAGGGCGTGGAGATTTTTTTCAGTATAGTTCAGTTCGCAAAAAAAAAACAACTTTGCAACTATCTGTGTTTCATGTGCATCCGAGGTTCATCTCTAGCTGCTGCATGGGATAAGGCCGTGTTATCTTCGTTTACACTCCCAAAGTCGGGGCCATAAAAGTGCGTCGAGATTGTCGCCAAAACTTTTGCTTTCTTAATTTTTTGTCTTCATGCACTGATAATAATTTCTAGAAACGTTTTGTACTTTGTAGCAGACCCAGCCCCGAGCCCCCAAACCCCCGACCCGTGACCCCGGCGAGAAATTGTATCTCGTTTTTTTTTATGAGCCAGCGCACTTTATGAGAAATTCGTTTCAGTTGTCAACGAGAAGGTTTTAATTAAAGGCTCATAGGTCGACGCGCAGCATAATTACCAAAAGTGACAAAATTTCATAAATAATTTATACAAATAAATTAATATTAATGTTGTCCTGTTGGCCTGGCAGATCCAGTTATGCAGCGACAGGGTCTGTTTTATGCTCATTATGGCTGACATTCTGAACCCGATTGACTTAGGTTAGCAGCTTTCCAGCTAAACTGACATTAAAAGGATTTTCGGCTGCGCCGCGCCGTGCCTCTCCTCGCCTCGCCATTATGTTTGACACTAATGATAGATATTGTTTTGAGTTTGGGAATTCTGTAAATCTGTACATTAAATATGTCCCAAATGCGAAAGATAGTTGAGAAGTTCAAAGCGCGCTCTCTCTCTAATGCTGATGAATGGCCGTCTCTGGAGTTTGATAAGCCACGACGAATGCCTAATGGAACTGAAAGCAGTTCGAACACCCCCCCCAACCCCACCCATCAACCCCCTCTCTTAGTCCACAATTCGGATAACATGCAGCTGTTTCGCCCTCCTGTTGCGAAACTTTACACTGACGGGATTCAGGGTAGCTTCGTGGTTTCAACTGTTTTGGTTACGTTGGCAACTTTGCATGCGGTTAGTCTTTGGTTTTTGGATGTGGGCTGTGCAGTGGGAGGGGGGGGGGGGGGGAGGGTACCCCCTAGACACCCTGTAGCCATGCCACAAATGAATTGCAGGCCAGCTGCAATTGCTGCACTTGATTTGCGGTGCGACCCGATGGTTAACAATTATCTGACAACAGTTTGTTCGACTCAACGTCACTTCCAACTTTTGGTAAACTGTGGCCAACTGCCGGGTTGACACATTTTACCAAACACAGTTAAGATTTAGCCAAAGATTACATTTGCTGCAGTTAGCAATGGAAAACTGGCTTGTTTTAATTAATACAGCTACTTAATCGATGGGCCTCGAAGTTTTAAATACTCTATTGTAATTTTAAATAATTTGTAAAGCAATCATTTTGTTTTGGTTGGATTCCTTTGCTCAACATTTGTGTGTATTCAAAAAGGACTCTCGATCAATTAACTTCTTTTCCAATTTTAGACTGAAAATATTGATTAAATTAATTTTTATAAATATTTGCCTACATACTTTTTCAAGTAGGACTAAAAAAAGGGTCGATAGTTCGGCAGATTTTGCTTGGTTCATATATTTTTGTCATATATTTTCAAAATATTTATTTGCTCATTTATACCGATTTATGCCGTAGATATTTTTATAAAGAGTTTGCCGATTATATTATATCTCTACTGGAAATTTGCATACATCAAATATAGTTGGATATATCTTATGGCTGGGACCGAATTTCAAAATGCTTTATGGCTTAGTCCACCTTAAAATGTATATCATATTTTCTATTTCAACGAAATATCCTTCTAATATCCTTGGCATAGCAAGCCTGGCCATAAATATCACATAAAAACTTATATTTTAGATGAGAATCGGGTTCTGGGTCTCACATCATTCAACTTCTGTCACGCCTGCCGATTCATTTATCAATAAAACGTAATTGGAATTTTATTTTCATTTACTGGCCGGGCATCGCCTTCTTTTGTTGCTTTGGCTAATTAATGGCAGCGTCTAGCTGGAAAAAAATCTTACCGCTAAAAATTGATGGGGCGTGGCTCATTAACCTATTGCCCCGCGGGTCTCCAGGGTACATCACAGCTAATTGCGCTACCATTTTCCATTTTCGAAGCTGTCAATAGAAAATTTCCCTTTTTTATTTATGTTAATTTGATTTTATTTTTATTTTTTGCTCCGATTTTTAGAATAAAGTTGCGCTCAATTGCTTTGGCAATCAATCAAAGTCAGGGCGCTCACTCGGCCAATATGTGTGTGTGTGAGTGTGGCCAGGCGGGGGTGAGTGCGAGTGAGAGGAGGTAAGCTCCTTGCTGCGCTTCTAAAATGCTGCCACACTTTCTCTCACTTACTCTCATCTCCAGTTTCGTCAGCTCAAAAGAACCAGTTGGCTCGCACGGACAGAACGCGTTGATTGTCATGTGAGCTGCGTGCTCCATTTTGGTGTTTTGTGGTGTTGACGTGACACTTGAGCGACACTTGACGCCCGATAATTGATATTGTAAGCGGAAAAGGGCTGCCTCAGTGGGGGGCAGAGAGGGGGGCGGGCGAAGTGTCTGACAAGATGCTTGTAATTATCGCTGACACATATCGCGGCTGCCTGCAAGCTGTGCGCAGTTGGCAGCGCATTCAATGAATCAATGTCATCAAAATTTACATATTTTAAAAAAGTTCTCAAAAAAAAAAGTTACCTCAAAAGTTCAAATAATGCAAGAGCAGCTATTGCAACGTTTATGCCAAGTAGTTCACAATATTTTTATAGTTAAAAAAACGCTTAATGAAACATGAATTTGTTGAAATATTCATATTTTTTAATTTACGTATTGGCATCTTTTGCAATGTTTTTGCCGTGAATTTAATGAATTTAATAACCCATGAATTTTTTGACTCTTAGGACTAATAAAACAAATTTAAAAATATAAATGTAATTCTTTAAAACTTCTTTTTATAAAATTTGGCAAATTTCATATTAAGCATGATCAAGAAATCGAAATAGCATAGTTCCATCACTTCATTATTAACAATCTTCTTAAGGACACACTGACGAAATCCGATTACAGCGTTTATGCCAAGCATTTCAGGATATTAAAAGAAACACTAAAAAAGAATATGATTACGCTGAGGCATTTATAATTTCTTCATTTTACGAAGTTCCGTATTTTTCAAGGCTTATGCCATGAATTCAATGTTTTCCTTAAATTATAACCCACGAATTTTGGACTCTTAAAACGTATCAAAAGCAAGTGTTAGTATTGAAACCTTTATTTTATAAATCGATCCAGCATAGTTCCATATATTCATTGCTAACAATTTTCTTAGGGATAAGCCATGTATTTCATGATATTTTAAAAAAATGTATGATCGTGCTGAGACATTCATATTTTTTCCCTTTACGAATTGTCATATGTTGCAGCGTTTATACCATGAACTTTATGTTCTCCAGCATAGTTCCATCTCTTCACTGCAAACACTCTGCTTAAGGATACCCTGACGTAATCCCTATTAATTGCTTGCGTTTTATTAGTTTCTTAATGCTGCTTGGCAGCTTTAAAACGCAACGATATTAGACACAATGGTAAACAGTCTTATAAATTGTTAGATACACACACACACACACACATGTGCACTTATATGCACACACACCAGCCCGTGAGTGTGTGCGTGTGGAGCCCGGTCATTTTATGCAGAGCTTCTAGAAGTACCTGCCTTTTGCTTTACTTTTAATTACCAACTCAAATTACACGGCCAGACACACATACACAATGGGGCACGCACACCCACACACATACACACACACATGCACATCCATGCTCAGTTACATTTGGCCGCCATTTAGCAAGAGGGAACACAAAAACGTTGGAACAGCTGTTTGGCTTGTACTTGGCAAGGACTGCAGAAGAGAGGCAAAAGGCGTCGGTAAAAGGAATAGACCAGCAGCTGGGCAAGGGGGGAAAGGGAGAGGCGAGGAGCGAGGCGAGGCGAGGAGCAGCACATGCCTGGCGAGAACTGGCAGAACCGCAGAACTAAACTTCAGCAGTCGCCATCGTTTGCTGCACATTTCATTACAATGCCATTGTATTCAAATCCTATTATAAAACGCAAAGCACTGCACTGTGGGAGGCGGGGCACAGGCTGGGCTAGCGAGGAGGGGGAGAGAGAGAGTGATTGGGAGAGAGAGAGAGAGTGACTGGGAGAGGCTATGGTAATGTTGCAGCTGGAGAAGTTCGTGTTTGCAGCACGTTTCCACTTTCGCACTTGGTAAACATAAGTTGCCCACGCACAGTGGCTGCTGCAGGTTGTTGGAGCGCGGGAAGGGGGGGGGGGAGGGAGGGAACGGTGCTGTAACGGAACTGGATGCTGCAGAATAGAAGGCAGCAACAGTCCATAAAATAATTACCAACACCAGCGCAGCAGCAGCAGATAGGTAGAAGCAGAGCAAAGCTGCTACGAAAAGGCGAGCCAGATTCAGCATGAAAATGAGCCGGTTTAACCCCCTCCAGCTAATTGCTAGCCCAAAATATAGCAAAAATAAGATATAGGCCAGGATAGATTTAATATAAATATCAAAGAAAGTGCAGCTTTAATTAATATCACAAATTTCTACATTTTAAATTCGCATATCAAAGTAATTGCTTTGGAAGCTGCAACAGAATTTGGTGCTTTCTTGGGTTAAGCTGCCCAGGTAAATCCAGTCGGCAAACTGCATAACCGGACGAAATTATTCTGTAAGTCAGTCGAAAAGAAATTAAGGCGCAAAATACATATTTGCTGGCTGAGCTGCAATATTAAAGCAAAGTAAAATATTCATTTAGGAATGCAAAACATGAACAAACCGAATTTCAAGTTCAAAAATTCTTTACCTGAGCTGTAAATAGTTGCAACAAATTCGCTTACTTTTACAAATGTTTTCGGTCGGTTGTGAGTGGGTTCAGTTGGTGGAAGAGGGTCCAGGGTATCACCTAGTCGGGAACTCCCGACTTGTTTATATATTGCAAAGCCTGCAAGCGATGAGACTTTGGCTGCTTAAATCAGTAGTTTGTCATGGATGAGTTAATTTTCATATAATTCTCAACTGCTTTAAGCAACGACTATTAGAATTGAAAATCTATTGAATTATAATTTAAGAATATAGTAGTTCTGTTATCTGCATACATCAGGAGCAATTTCTAGAAAGTATGATATATTTATTTATGCGTGCAAAACAAAATTAAATGTTTAAAACCAGTTTTAAATATTGTCAACAATAATAACCTCTTTCTTACTGAAGTTTTCTGTACATTTCTAAGGCTAAATGCCTGCAGATGGTAAACAAATTTTCTGCTTTAATCAATACTTTGTGATGCTTGTAATTCTCAACTGGTTTAAGCACGCACTGCTTTAAATAAATTATAAAATTTCAAAAGTTTATTCCTGGTTACAATTTATAAAATAATTACTGAAATATAAGTCAAGAACTGATTCTATAAAGATTAGATAATATATTTGAGAGTTTCTTCCGTCTTTTGTTGTTTGAATCCTTCGACCGTATTGCACTATACGATAATCCCATTTTAGGCAAAAGTTATATCTTGCTCTCGTTAAATTTTCACATTAAAATTTTTATTTGCGTATTGTTTAAAATTAGAATGTTTGTGTTCTACGGAATACATGTAAGGATTGGCAATAATTCTGCTTGGTTTTATTAGTTTTTTTTTTCCTTTTTGCCATTGTGAGGTGAGGTGAGCTGTTAGTCGATATCCTGCTGCTCCGAGCTAGTCAGTGCGCTCTCGTCCATGGTGACGCCCTGCAGTTCAATGTAGCGCAGCTTGCTCTGGGTTGACCAGGGCCTGATCCAAGGTAGCGACATCAGCATCATGATCTGCGACGGTATATATTTGCACGGCAGCAGAGAGATCAGATACTCGTTTTTTCGGTCCAGAGATTGTGCATCTGCTTCTTCTTCACCGATCTCTGGAAATAGCAGGTGCTGTAATCTCACTGACTCTAGTTCTGGTTCCGGTTCCGGTTTGGGTTGTAGTTTGGGTTGTGGCAGCTGCAGCTGCTCCTCGCACAGCATGGAGAGCAGCAGGTGCTCGGTGAAGAGCGCGTGCTGCTGTCGCTGGCTGTTGTCCCGCAGCGCTGTCTCCAGGTCCGCGTGCTTCTCTGCCGTCCACTGGTGCAGCAGATAGCGATCCGCATCCGAGTGCTCCAACAGCAGCGCCGAGCTGCCAGCTGCTTCATTGCCAGGGCCTTGGGCTGGGCCATTGGTCAGCGCCTCGGGACTGGCAATTGCCAGAGTGGTCGGGCGTGAGCGCGGATCCCCCTCCAGGTAATTGGCCGGCGTCTGGCTCAGGCGTAGCTCCGGACGCAGGCGACGCAGCTCGGACAGCTGATAGAGTATATCTATGCCGGCCTCAGAGTCCATGCGGCTGCTATTGGATCGCGCCGAGCTGCGACTATTGCTGCCATTGCCATTCTGATTGCCCGGACTTGGCGGCTGTTGGCGCCGCCTTCGACGCGACACGCGCGCCAAGGCATGACGCAACGGCGGCGTATTCGGATCCAGCAGATTGGCGTGCTCAATGTGATTCAGCAGCAAATGGCGTGCCAGATTGCGTATGGCGACCAGCTCAATGCCCGGCAGTCCGGCGCACATGGGGCACACCACATGGCTGTCGGCCTGGCGATGCATGGTGACCACATGATCGATCAGCTCCTTGGCCGTATGCCCAAAGATGCCGCAATAGGGGCACGTATAGCAGTTGGGCAAGTGCATCAGTTCGAGCATCTCGCCATTGAGCAGCAGTTCGGGCAGCTGTTGGTGCCGCTCCTGGTCGAGCAGCAGCTGCATGGGATGCTCCAAGCGATGGTCCAGCGTCTCCACATGCTGGTCATAGCACTCGCCGCACAGGTCATAGTTCACACAGCGCAAACAGTGAAACCTTCGTCCTTGGAAATTATGTGTTTGACAGCCATCGCAGCAAAAATTTCGATGGCCCATAGATTTGTTCTGATTAGTTAATTAATTGTCGCCTCTTCGTTTATTGGACAGAGAATTAATAATCGATTTGTTGTTGTCGAACAGAATGCGATGTGATGCTCGGGCTGGAATTAATTACGCAAAAATATGGGTCGAAAAAGTCTTGACAATGCGTTTTGAATTTCTATTTTATGAAATCAAATGACAAGAATCAAAAATAGTGTGCGATTAACTGTGGAGAGTACTTTCAATACGAGCTCGAATATATGGGAAACGTTTCGAATATATGTATATATATATATATATATATATAGTTAAACTTAAATGCTTGGATATTAAGCGATGATATCGCAAATGAAAACAAATATAAATGTTGATATCGTATATAGAAGAAAATAGAAATGACAATATCGTATATAGAAAAAAATAGAAATGACAATATCGTATATAGAAACAAATATTAACAATTAACAATTATATATATTTTTTAAATACCATTTATTTTTATTAAAACTATATACGTTTTATTTTACGGTTTTCTCACCAACATACGCTGGAAATAGTTTCAAATATTCTCAAATTATATATTATTCTATAAGTTGAAAAAGAGTAAGCGCAAGTGTGATTATAGATTTAAATAATTTTATAAAATAATATATTAAACATTTGTTTACAGATTTCTAATCAGCTGCGACGATCGATTCTCAAACAGAAAGAAATATTCTAGATAATATTTAGTTATTTTTACGTAAGTAAAGTTTGATCTTAGACTCTAATTATAGTCAGTTTTTAAGACATTGCGTTTTCTTTGACTAACAATCATTTATTAAGCTTTAGTTTTATTGAGTAGAAAAGCATTAAATTGCATTTTCGAACGAGGAATTGCTGGTGATATTAGTATGTATATTCAATAGAGAGTAAGATCTAATGCATTTCTAGAAAATTTCAATAATTTTTGATCGTATAAATTATTTTAAATATTTTGTACTTTTTTTTTTTTACAGATTTTCAATCAAAATTTTCAAACATATAAAATATTCTAGAAAATATTAAAATCCTTCTACGTAAGTAAAGTCAATGTTTTATAAATAGAGTATAAACATTTTAATATTCTAATATTAGACATTTTAAGACTTTTTTGAGATTTTATTTAATTATTTTTTCAAGTCATGTTCATCATGATCAACTTTTTTTTTTATTATGCTTCAATTTTATGAAGTTCAAAATCTTACAATTAATTTTTTGAAGAAATCATTAAATTAGATCCTATTATGTATGCTTAGGAGAGTAAGATTTAAAAAGTTTTTAGATTATTTAAATATTTTTGGATTAAGATAGAATAAAATATAAGTATAGTAACTACACATGTAAATGACATATTATTTATTATTATTTGTAGTTTGTTTTATAGCATTTATTTTTACAGGGAAAACTGCCTTACAAATTGCCAATATAATTGTTCTCCATTTCACACTCAATTGACTATAATTTATACATAGTCTATATTAGTAGACTTCCCGTTTGAAGTCTATTAAAAGCTCAAAGCTTCTGCTTCTTTCCTATTAATTTTATCCCAGCAAGCGTTTGCTTGTCAGTTTTCTGCTTTTATTGTTGCCTTGGGCCATATGTTTCTTTTAATTTCAATTTTTTAATTAAATTCGCTTTTAAATACTTTATCTTTACGTTACACCCTGCATAGGTGGTGAACAAGTTGTTGAATATAATTTGTTCAACATCGTTCTATATATATTTATATATATATTTAAGTAAATACATATTTCTCTCCCTTTTACAAACTCGAAGTGCTTATGCGTATGTCTGTCTTAGTCTGCTGTTCAACTTTGTTTGACTTTAGAGCTGCGTTAAAATATTTTAATTACTTCATTGCCGGCGGCATTAAAAAAGTTTATTGTTGCATCATTTTATCCTGTTGCTGGCGCCTGCCACAAGCAGCAGCATAAAAAGTGCCCTGTAATATTACGGGAATTTAGGAATATATAAATAATATATATTATGATTATTTAATATTCGATAAAGTTATCCAAATACAATTTGCGAAAAATATAACTCTTATGGATTCCGATTGAAATTTAGTCAAATGTTTTCAACAACTTCAGCCTGTGCTTATTGACTACTGGGGTCAAACCAACTCAGACTTAAGTTGAGCGGGCGCAAAGTAAACGAAATAAGAATGGGCGCACAGAAAATAAAGCGATAAGAAGCTTGATAGATTCTTGAGAGCGCAATGCAAAAGTAGATAATGCACAAACATCTATGTATATACACATACATTTACACATAACTGCAGAATCCCTCTTCATCTACTTATTTGGGCGTGAGTATGCTTTTGGGTTATCTAATTATGTACGTGTGTGAATGTTCTTGCTCCAAAACAGAATTTATCTAGTGATCGTTTGCTGGCTCAAGTTTATGTGCGCCGTTTTTTCCGTCTGCTTTGCTCCTTCTCAACTAAGTTCTGTGTAAGTTTGAGCCCAGTAGTCAATTACGCATTCCTCAATATGACAAGGAGTGACAAAAATGGCAAATAGTTATGTTAAGAAATGTATTAATTTATTATTAATGTAAGAATTTGTGGTTTTAATCAGTGATTTAGTCTTCTAAAAAGTATAAGTTCCGAAGACCGAACCTCAATTACCTCAATTAAAGCTATTTTAAATTTATACATATTCATAAAATAATTCATATAATAGATTTTATATATCTAGGTTCCGATTTAATATTAATATTTTTTAGACTTGTACGAACTGTTAATTAGAATTAAAGAACTCCAATTCAAAAATTTGATCATTTAGTATGCATCACATTCTACACACCCAGCTGCAACTTGCGGCTGTGGAGAATATTCATCCCAAATTAATGTGCAATTGAGCATTGGGGTTAACCCTGATAATTAAGTTGCGCCCAAAATAAAACGGTTCATATTAAATATATCAAGTGTTGTTCGAAGCGATAAGCGCTTGTACACACATGTACATACATGTTTTTGACGATTCATCTCATCTGTTTATTTATATATACGTGTGTGTGCGAGCGCAGAGCGGACTACAAAAATAGCAAGTCTTGCTTAGAGCGATAAGCAGCATCAAGAATTCGGGAGAGCGCAATGCATAGGAAGATAAGGCACGAGCGCGGCATACATACACACATGTACACACCTAGCGATTCTCTCCGCATAAACTTGTTTTTTGGGTGTGTGTTCGCTGTTGTATTATCTGCATACTCTCTATGCATGGCGCTCCCGTGAGTTTCTGAAGGTGCTTATCGCTGATTGGTTAATGCAAGAGTTAACTGTGCACGAATTTATCTTGGGATCGTTTGCTCGCTTGATTTCTGTGTGTCCGTTGTTGAGCGCTTTGCGCAACATAATTCGGTTTTAGTCAAACGGCAGCAGCCTTGTGATGCTGTCTAGAAATAATTAAGTGTGATTTCTCGGTAAATACGGTCAGTTTCTCTAATTGCTTACAGAATTAGACTCGTACGAATACGGAGTAACATTAAATAAATCACGTTCTTAAGTTTAATAAAAATGGCAAGGTTTATATTAAAACTCTACCCAAATCGGGGTCAATTCTGAAATTTATATTTTCAATGTTCCGTGGACTCTAAAGACTTTTACAACGCCATTACTAAAAAGTAATTCATTTTTCATTGAGTAAAAAAAAAGTATGAGTCTGTGCAAAAGTAGACAATGTTCAAACGAGTATACATATACACATTCAACTGTACGTATTTGACGATTGCCTTTGCATACACCTGTTTGTGTGTATGCATGTGTGTAATTGCCATCAGAAGAAGAACTTGCGCGAGCGAACACCAAAGCAAATCTTGTTGAGAGCGATCAGAAATTCGGGAGAGCGCAATAGATAATGCGCGAGCAGCCATTTACACATGCGTATAAACATATTTGGCAATTCCCTCTGCGTACACTTATTCGGTTGTGTGCTTCTTGTGTGATATCTATTTATGCAGGTGTGTGGCTTGTAAGTTATCTGGCTTTGAATGCGCTCAGTCGAATTTTGGTTGCCTGCTCAACTTTCTGAACGCCCATCTTTGAGCGCTTTTAGCAACATAATTCTGTTTTAGTTAGACATCAGCAACCAAGTAAAGTTGTTAAAAAATATTTTAACTTTAATTTCTCGGGTAAATCTCGTCCGTTAATTTAATTGTATACGTTAGTTATTTAACTCGTACGAATCGTGAGCATTAATTGACATTTAAATGTTCGGAATCGGTTCTATAATCAGAGTTTTAATGTTGTGAGGTTTTTAAAGACTTTTGCTATACTTAAAGGTATTTATTTCCCAAATCGACTTGATTCAACTGATAAAACGCGATAAATAATTTATTTTTCTTTTTGTGAAAAACATTCGTGAGTGCGAGTTGTATGCATAGATGTATGCGCAAATGTACATTTTGTGCACCTGCTTAAAATTGTTTGTATGTAATTGCTTAATGATGCAAATGACCATTAACTTAGTCGTTTGCTTAATTTCATTTATGGCTTATTGATTTAAATATGTTTTCAACTTTTCAGATAGAAGAACACAATGACTAATCGATTTTAAGGACTTTCACGATGCTTTCCTTACCAGGTTCGGACTATATTTAAACCAGATATAGTAGTTAATTAATAAATTTGTTTATTTTTAGATTCAGCAAAACCTGCAGCGCATTAGAACAAATTCAAAAGATATTGGCACCTAGTTGACCCATGTATCCTTGGTAATTTCATACCATGGATATAGTCCTAGTGAACCTAGAGGACTGACTTCTAGCAAATGCGCAAGAATATAGTCCAAAAATATGTATGCATTCTCTTTCAGCTGCCCCCCCTTGATGGTTGCTAGTTGACTGCCATGTCCTTGGTTATACCATACCATCGATATAGTCCTTGGCAACCTAAAGGATCATATCCCTGCAAAATTTGCTTCGATATGGTCCAAAAACATGTATGCTTTTTCTTTCAGCAGCCCCTGTAAATGAGCAGCAGCTGCAGCTGCTAATTAACAGCTGACCTTACAGCACTCGTTTAACATAACTCATTTTAAATGAGTTACATTTTTGGCCCTTACGCGTATGCAACGAAAATTTTTATTCGAAAATACTCGTCGACCTTCTGAGCATTTCTGTTCGCCTGGTGCTTGAGCGGAATTTTAGCCAAAATTTGGGACCCAGCCGCCAACAAGCGCGCCCCTT